TAATATACTTTGTTTAACCTGACATATCTAAAATACCATCATGTCAAAACATAATCAATGTTAAAAATTGATATATATTACATTCTTTTTTTTCCCTGCACCAAGTCCTCAAAAACTGGTGTGTATTTTACACTTAGAACACACCTCAATTCTGACCAGTCACATTTGAAATCCCCAAAAGCTAGTAGCTACTGGTACCAGCTAGTGGCTACTGTCCTGGACAGCACATTTCTAGATAATTCGGAGACGATTCTTCTTCATATCTGGGAAAACTGCCTTCGTAGCTAGGAAAACACTTGAGATTTTTTTTTTTAGTTATAAGTGATTATGGTTAACTCCTTTTGCAGTAACACTTTAATTAACTTTCCCAGACATAAAGCAGGAGTGGCTTCAAGCAAAAAAAGCCCAAAACTCAGTGAATTCTCTAGAAGGCAGCTTTTATCTGCCCAAAAATACCTCTGGAGAGGAAGCCAAAATAGGTATATTTCCCCCTTCCCACTCTATAAGGAGGGTACAGATTTCACTTGCTGCCTCCTCTTCATTCATTTCTTCTTTACCCATCTAGGAGATCCTAGTTTTCTGAATCAGGAAGTGGCTAAAGCAAAAATATCTGACATGTTTCTTTTCAGTGAGGAAAATATTGTCTCCAGGGATAAGCCAGGAACCTAACCTCAGGCATGACAGTATTCAGAGTTGTCTGCAGAGCATCAACACCCACTGTGCAGAAGGGCTGGGGAAAGTTTTCCCAGAGAGAGGAGCGACACATAAGGCTTCTGACCATCTGGAGCTTATTAAGAGGTAGATTCTTAGTTAAGGGCAAGGCCATGTGACCATCTTTTTCAATCTCGCTCTGCTGGATCTGCAAACTTGATTTCATTCTGTGATTTACAATTCAACAATGCTCAACAGAATACCTTTAGCGATGCAGTGAAATGGGTAGTCTCCCTTACAGCCTAGTCAGCAGCTATGCCCATTCTTCCCAAAGCCTCTCTCCCGTCAGGAGGACCTACTAATACTGGGTCACAATGCTGTGACATGACATGGATCTGGGAGGACAGCAGCAGGTCTCTCATGAAGAGGAAAGAAGTTCTTCCTCCGCTTAGACAGCGGAAGTGGGGGAGCACAGGAAAAAAAGGCAAAATGCAGCAGAGGTAGCAAGGCTTACAAGAGGAGATGAAATGAGTGGTTAAGAAATGTGCACCAAAAAAATGAGTCACTACTCTTGTTGTCAGTTACATGACAAGCCAGCAAGTGAGTCTGTTCAGTCCCCAGTGAGAGAGAAGGGTATTGAGAAGGCTCTTTAGACATCCCAATAAGGTTGCCTTGGAAGTGACAAGAGAGAAGAGGGGATTGGAATAATGAATGAGCAGCAGAGACAGATCTAATCTAGCTCCTGTGTAATTCACAAAATAATCTTCTTCTGGCAACATAAAGCTTGTATTGCAATACTATATTCAAAAAAATGAGCCTATATAGCTCTGACAGTGTCAATATTAAGTCTCAAGCTCCTACTCAATCCCAAGGAACAAGTGCTCAAGGGACTAGATATTAAATTTCAAACAATTTTAAGATCCAATTTAAGTAAGACATAGCAGACCTAGCTTGGACCACTCTTTCTCTCAAATCTCAATCATCAACATAATATTAAAAGAAGTTTCAAAAAACAGGTGGAAGAGGGGCCGGCCCCGTGGCCTAGTGGTTAAGTTTGGCACGTTCTGCTTCGGCGGTCTGGGTTTGGTTCCCAGGCGCGGACCTACACCACTCGTTGGTGGCCATGCTGTGGCGGTGACCCACAGACAAAACAGAGGAAGACTGGCACAGATGTTAGCTCAGGGTGAATCTTCCTCAGCAAAAAAACAAAACAAAAACAGGTGGAAGAGTTTCTTCTCTCTCTTTTGATAGGGTACAGGGTACTCTGCACAGGTACAGGTAGCATGAATTTATGTACGGGGGGCGGGGGGCAGGAGAAAGAGAGAGAGAAGCTGTAGAAAGATGCACATGTAAATATAGTATAGTGAAATTTAACAGAAACAAAAGAATTATAGATTTGTCTCTATCAAGCCAAAGATCTATTTCAGGTTGAAGATCTAGATTCTGATTACTCCTCTGAGCATCTGAGTAGATGAGGAAGAACCCCTCTCAAACATTCGATAAGTATTTATTGACCACAGGCTACACCTGAAGCATTTTGCAAGGTCCAGGCCTCTACAATGCAACCAGTCAGCAGCGGCCCACAGAAGAAAGCCTCTGTTCTTTGGTAGGAAATAATCTCCCACCTGCAGTTCTTTAGCAAAATAGTTAGCTAAATACTTTTTTTATGGTCAGGTGGCTTTTCAAATCATCCCTATCACGTGAGGCTGCAGTTTTCGAGGGCATGTGGGAACTTAAAAAATAAATGCTCAGTGTAGCTGATAAGAAGGAAGAGAAAGTAAGACCAAATTGTAAACTCTCTATATGCTCTTTGGGAGATCCTTAAAACAATACAAACAGAGATAATTCATCAAGGGGCATAGTGTAAGACCTTAAAATATGCAGAACAATTTGAAACAAAAAAAAGGACTATTCAAGTCAAACACATTATATTAAATAACCAAAAATAATATGAGCATGGATTTGTTCTCCAAAACCTAGAATACTGGGAATAGGAGGTTAAGTCTTAACCCTTGAAAGGGGGTTAAGGAAAGATGGCCACATCACACAGTGGAAAGAGCGTGAGGCTGGGGAAAATGATATGGATCTTGGTTCTGCCTTCTTCCCCAGGTGAGTATGCAACCTCTGAAAAGCTGCAGGATGTTTCTAAGCCTTAGTTTACTGTCTGTAAAAGGAGGTTAGGGTTGTAGCTCTTACAGTCCATGATTACTACATGAATTGCTTCTAGAAAATAAGTAGGTGGGATCTGAGAAATGAGAAAATGTAGGAAAGATGACTAACTATGTATATTTCTGATATGTCTTTTACTATACTCTAAGAGTGGCTTCTATTACCTTTATGCAAGACTAGCACAGTAAGAGAGCAACTGGTAATCCAGCAGTCAATTCTATAGCTAACTAAGGTATCAGGTCTTAAAGAGAAACAAAATAGCAAGACTGCTTCTAGGGTTAAACAATCCTAAAATCAAACATGAGATGAAGAAGGTACCTGTCCTTACTAGCCAAGAAATATACTAGAATGCTTTCAGCTCAGTGTTCCCATCCACCCCCACTCCCCCCGACACTGGAGCACCATAGAAACATTCAGATAGAATTCCCACAGGTAAAGGATCTTTTCCAGTGGCTCTGCCAGGGGATATGTAAGTCTTCAGCCATCTGGGAGAACTCTGGAAATCTGAAGATATATGTAAGTTTATATAAAATGAGTGTTTATAAGCAAAGGGCTATTTCCTCTTACCACTAATGTGGAGAAATTTCCATATTGGTATATATTTATATGATAAGCAGAGAATATTTTCCTAGGACAATGAACTTTTTTTTCTGTCCTGAATTGTGTATTTTCCTTTTTAGTCATTACATTGTCTTTCTCTTTTTTCAGCCCTCACATACAGATGGTAAGGTGGAAAGTACCTGGATCTAGGTTACCCCTAAGAGAGACAAGTGGTTTGTGCCTCCACCCCCCGGAATACTTAATACAATGACTACACTTAAAAACTGCACCACTAAGTTCCAAAGGACCCAGAAAAGGCATTTAGATCTTCAGGTTTCATTTGCTTCAGTTAAAAGCATCTTTATTTTTGCACTTGAACATCTGGCAGAGCACTTTGATGACAATATACAAACACTAAGGATAAATGGATGAATGACAAGCTAGCTACATACAACAAATATTTTTGAAAGATTGTGTCAGAAATAGTAGGTAAATCAAAGAAGTAATCCAAAACTGACAATCCTAATTTTTCAGAGAGTAACATATTATTTTATCTGCAATATACTCCCATCCTAGAAGGGGCATTCCTGCTCTATATAAAGGCCAAATGAACAGAAGATATCAAAGCACCATCCTCATTACCTGAGAACTATGCGGAAAGAAGTATTTCCCTGAAGTCTGAGTAGACTTGATCAAAATCACCCACAGGTGTAAGTCCACGTTATAAAATCACCACATCAAGTCCTCAGTGGATATCTTTATCTCGGACAGCATATACAACCACCCACTCAAAGAAAGGTGAAATCACTTTTACCAACAACACATGGTCCCACAAAGTATGCTGTGTTCCACTAAACTCACTTAGATGCTGGCCCAATACAGCTGTCCTCTAATAAGCCTTGTGGCTCTCCATCCCTTCAGGATGACCATTCCTCCTTCCCTCTCAGGCCTCCAAGGCTTGTTCTGCAACTCATCTGACAACTTTTCCATACTTTGGAAGCCTCAGGCTCCACCACACCCTACCCCAACCGGATTTCTACTCTCCTACGGGCTCTGGCAGAATTTTATTGACATACATATACATACACAAACAAACCTCCGTGAGCCCACAAACCAAGCTTAGGGCCTAACTAATCTTGTTCCCCTCAACCCTCAGAAACTACAGAGCCCTCGCAAACCTTAGATTCCCATGAACCCGGAATTAGAACATCTTGGAACGTCTGGGTCTTGCGTGGACCCTTCAGCTTCCATGGCCCCAACTAGCCCTGGTTCCAGTGGCCCTTTCTTGTTCCTTTCATCGGGTCTTGGCCGCAGCTCACACTCAACCCGCTTCCTCGTCTGTAGACTCCATGGAGGTTGGGAGGAGGCCTCTGAGACCCCCCAAGCGACCTCCGGGATCTAAAGTTGAATGGGCCCAGCGTCCCCCTCGACTCTGTCTTTCACTTGCCCACTCCCTGTGTTCACCTAGGCTCCACGACCACCGCGGCCACCCTCCGAGCATCCGCGCTGCGGCCCGGGCTCCCCCAGCCCCTGCTTCCGGGCGTTCCCAGCAGGTCTGCTTCCGGTGCTCGGCCTCCCCCCACGAGGCGCCCCCCGCCCGCGCCCCCGGGCCTCCGCGCCGCTCGCTCGGGGGCTCTCACCGCTCGAAGAGCCGCCTCACGAAGAATATGCCCGCCGCCAGCGGGAACACCGAGAGGATGTGCCGGGCCCGCGGGTAGCCGGAGCCGTCGGCCGGGCCCTCGAGATCAGCCCAGCTCACGTTCTGGGGCAGCCAGAAGCGTTCGCTCCACAGCCAACCCCACAGCAGGCCCAGGGCTCCCGCCACCGCTGTCGCCATCTTACGCCCGCCCTGCGGCCACTGCCGCCACAGCCTCAGCTGCCGCCACAGCCAACGGAACCCGCGGGGAGGCGGTCCCGGGGCGGGGCCGGACCGGCGGCCACCCCCTTCCGGCCCCTTCTTGTTCTCCGCGGGGCCTAGCCTCTTCACCGCCCATCGCGCCTCCCCGCCCACCTCCCTCACCGCAGCCTCCCGGGCCGCCTTTCCTTGGAACCCCGCCCCCAACCTGGCTACGCCCCCACCTCCCCGCCCCGCCTCCCTCCAGCCCTGGCCCCACCCCTCAGGCCCTCAACTCTGGTCCCGCCTTTTTTTGCTACCGGTTTCGGCCACGCTTGTCCTCCCTGCTCAGTCGCCCATCCAGCTACGGCCACACCCCTTATTTCAGGCCTAGCTCCCTTACGGGGACATTCCTCTTTCTCAGCCCGGCCCGCTCAGAGTTGTTCCCGCTCCCAGGCAGGCCATACCTATCTCTCTACTCCCAGCCCCGCGCCCTCTAGGGCCTATCTCGCCATCTCAGCTGGTCCCGCCGCCTCCTCTCCACCACCAGTGCTCTTTCTGCTCCCAACCTTTTCTTCCCTTAGTGCCACTTCGCGATCTTAACCTCCCTTCAATGTTTTATCCCTTAAAATGGACTTTAAAGATTTTATTTATTTATTTTTTCCCCCCAAAGCCCCAGTAGATAGTTGTGTGTCATGGCTGCACATCCTTCTAGTTGCTGTATGTGGGACGCGGCCTCAGCATGGCCGGAGAAGCAGTGCGCCGGTGGGAGCCCGGGATCCGAACTCGGGTCGCCAGCAGTGGAGCGCACTCACTCAACCACCAAGCCACGGGGCCGGCCCCTAAAATGGACTTTAAAAAATCATTTTTCTCATGGGGAAAAGGAAATGGAAGATATACAAAGGATATTATCCAAAGGAAATTATAAAGAAAAAGAAAAAGAAATTATAGCCATAGTGTAATGAGGTTTACTATGTGCCAGGTACTGCACTGAACGTTTTACACAGGTTATTTAACTCCATCACCCTATGAAGTAGGTATTGCTTTATTTACTATTTTAAGAATGGGTAAACAGGTCCAGAGAAGTCAAACAGCTTGCCCAAGCTTATATAGGTAAGTGGTAGAACTGGGCTTCTGAACTAGAAAGTCTTTAGACTCCAGAACTCTGAGACTTTATCCTATAAACCTCCTTAATTTTAGGTTTGCACATTGAACTCTTTCGTGGATCTACATAAACAGGGAGAGGAGCCACAGACTAGGAACCTTCAAATGGCTAAACTCTCAATTGTCCCTCAGCTGCTGGAAAACCGTGAACCCTGGGTGCTGTTAAAACATGGCTACAATTTTAATTACCACAGGCTAACTAGACAGATCTGAAAAAAGATTAAAAGAACTAAATCTCTACCTCTTGTCCAAGGCCATTTAAAGTAACTTAATAACTAGTAAGATATGCTTACACCAGAAGTTAGAGAGTTTCAAAGGGAGGGGAAGGAAGAAAAAAAAGGAGCCATCCTAAGGAGTAGACTAGAAGGTTTGCTTTAGCTCAGTAGTTCTCAAACGTTAGTGTGCCCTAGGTCAGACATTAGCTTGTTCCATCTCCCATATGGAGTTTGCTAAAAGTTTTCTGGGCTCCTTCCAAAGAGATTCCGATTCAGGAGGGTTAGGGCAGGGCCCACAAATTTGCATTTCTCATTTCTAACACTTAGGAGATGCCACTACTGCTGGTCTGAGAAGCACTGCCTAAAGCCATTTTTGTCCAAACCCAGCAACAGCTTAATGGTAACTCACCCTATATTCAAGATACATTTTAAAAGTAGCAAACTCTCCCTGATCCCAGGGGAATTCAAATCAGGAGCCCCAAGGAAGAGAGAACATGCTAATTTGGCATGCAGGAACCAGCACACAATGATCTGGATCTTAAGATCTATCCCCAGAAAAACACATTTGTAGCATTTCATAAGCTCTTGGCTGTTAGAAAACATATTGCTGATGAAATGTCATGAAAGCAAACTTTGGTGCAGCTTTCACTTTGGCCAGGAATGATCTGACCAGCAAGTTGATGAAACTCAGTTGGCCCTGTAGCAGTCATGAACAGAGTCTCCTTAACCATCCCAGGTCCCAAGCTGGCCCCTTTTCCTGCTTCAAATAGAAAGATTCACATCATCCTATTGTGGCCACTGACATACCAAGTCCAAACAAGCTGCCTTCATTCACAGAGCTGAGAGCTGATAAACACTTTTTGTTTGGCTGTAGGTTATTTTGTTCTCTAAGAATGTTAAGTGTTATCAGGTCGTTCTCTTGATAAGGATATCCATTTATCATATTGCTTATGGCACTAGTCCTTGTTTCTACTCTCTGTACCTATAATATGTGTATCTTAGCCCTTGAAAGGCATAGAAAAAGGTTCTTCTAAGGGTAATCTCAGTCCCCACGTACCTGATATGTGTTGACATACTCCGCTGATATCCATAAATGCTGGCTATTGGCACTCAGACTTTTTTGTATAAAGTATGTAGATATGGTGAGTACCACGTGGATGGGTTAGAGCAGTGAGTCTGACAGTTAAGGTAGCTAAACTCAAGCCAGGAACGGATATTTTGTGCAAGTCAGCCAGAGCTTCTGGATTAACTGTTTGGTGAAATGACTTCAGCCTGAGGTGGGGCCAAGAGCAGAATGTAGTACCCTGCCATCCACTCAGAAGACCAGGCAAGACCCTGGAACACACAATGACTCTGGAAAATGTAACAGATGACTCAAAAAGCATGCCTATCTCCAAGAAAATCCACATTCTCACATTGCCATTAAAAAGAAAAAAAAGGCGGCCAGCTCCGTGGCTTGGCGGTTGGGTGCACGTGCTCTGCTACCGGCGGCCCGGGGTTCAGGTCCCGGGCGGCACCAGCGCATGGCTTGTCTGGCCATGCTGAGGCGGTGTCCCACATACAGCAGCTAGAAGGATGTGCAACTATGACATGCAACTGTCTACTGGGGCTTTGGGGAGAAAAAGAGAAAAAGAAGGAGGAGGACTGGCAATAGATGTTGGCTCAGGGCTGGCCGGTCTTTCTCAGCAACAGGAGGAGGATTGGCAAGGATGTTGGCTCGGGGCTGATCTTCCTCACAAAAAAAAAAGAAAAAAAAAAGTGCCTTAACAATTGAGGTAGTTGCCTCTCCACAGGCAAGGAAATCAAACAACCAATTATGCTTTTGTCCATAGTGGAAAACAAGTCCATTTTCAGCAGAGGCATTTGGAAATTCCATTTAGCATGTTAGGCATAATTGTAAGATGAATTATTAAATGTTGAATACAGTTACAATAAAAAACCACCACTGGATTTTGAATTGGTAAAACAAATGGCTCATTTTGAATGTACACACTAATTCTCTTGCCAAAGAGAAAGTTGCTTTCAATTTTCAAGAAAAATTTGTCTTCCTTCAGGGAGGATGAAAGCCCAAGATCAGCCCAACACCACCACCTATTGGTGAGATGTATTCACAACACTTCACTTAAAACACTTCAGACCTTTGCCTTTTCTTCCCTAACTGCTAAGGCAAAAAGTAGGTCTGAGAGACTGTAACAATGTAAAATAATAATGAAAAAGGCACAGTGAAACATTCAAATGAAAATTAAAAGCTTTATTGAATAAAAATGTTTCAGACTAAGCAAGGCTGTAAGAAAGCAGAATATTTTACATCTCTAAAAAATATTAGAGCTAAATTTCTAAAAATGCAGTACAAAGAAAAGCCTGTGGCTTAAAACGCCTCTCTCCCCCACATACAATTTGAAATATCAATTATGTACAACAAATGTACTCAAGTTTATAATGTTCCAAAGCCTTAATACTAGAAAACGAACCCCCCCAAAAGGCCTATAATTGGTTTAATTGCACCCTGGGAAAACTGTCTGCCATAAAAATCAACACATTTCAGAGCTGATAAAGTATTAAAAAACTAGTGTCCCAGAAAGGGGCTATCAGAAGTGGAATACAGAGTTTGGGGATCTGAGCTCAAGTGGTTTAAGGTGGTTTTTTGTTATTCCTCCTTTAAACGGCTCACTTTGCTCTAACATGCAACATGGCAAACAACAATACAAAAGATCTTATAAAAATATTGCAGCTTTCAGTAAATTATGAGAAGCACAGATACCACCAGAGAAGAAATCACTTGGGGTGTAGTGAGACTCATTGGCAAATATTATAGCTTATTTGTGAGACAGGTGATCTCTCCAAGCACCAAAGATGATCAAAAAGGTACTCCAAAAAGATGATTGTATTCTAGCTCAATAATCCAGTTCAGGATGTGATTTAGAAAGCAGGATGCAAAGCGATAAATTCCCCATATATATCAGAGCAAGAAAATTAATCTAAAAAATTTTTTAAATGACTAAATATTTGATCTAACAGATGAATACTAAGCAATTAAATTGGTATTCATTTAAAAATACATAAACTGTGCCCTTTATACTAAAGTGCGTTCAGTCATAACATTTAGGCCCCTACATCCCTTCTGTATGTCCCCTAATTCCATGGTTGAATTTTTAGTGTAATGAGGTACTACTAATCATCCATCTATTTTCATATTGCCTTTTGGGAATACAGTGGAATTGGACTATATCAGTTGGAATATTCTCTCCCTCCCATAAGACCTTAAAGCACTTATGCGTATCATCATTGCTAAAATAGAGGATTTAAGTAATGTTATCTCTAACATTTAGAATTGGTTCACTTAAGCTGCAGTATGGGATTTTTCTGAAGCAAGAACTCTTTTCCAGAGTTACTTCCACATAAATTACAGTTCATCCTAGATATCTGTTTACGTGCATCACTTTGATAAAGGGCAGTGGCTCACTAACACTAACACAAATTTAAGGCCCAGCACCATTGTAATTTGTCATTCCTCATCCTCATCCTCATCATAGTACCGATTTCTCTTTATCTGTTCCTCCACAGACAGCTCTTCGACTACTTCTCCCTCCCAGAATCCCGCATCCTGGGATTTCTGATTCTGAGTATTGAATTCTTTAGCGGAGGTGTTGTCTGCAAAGTTGGACCAATTTGTAGACTTGGGTTCCAGTGGAGACTGCTGTTTGAGAAGGTTCCTATCATCTTCATCTAAGTTTGCACCATGTTCTGTGAGATTCTCACTCCCCATCTCAAAACCATGAACTTCCTTACTTCTCCTCCCTGCCTCTCCTCCTTTAGATTCCTTTTTTTGCCAGGTTGTTTTTCCCACACTCCCATTCTTCTCGGAGGCACTGGCATCTTCCACTTGTTTCTTCTCTGCTGCTATTCCTCCTCCAAACTCCTCACTCTGCTCTGACATGCTCCAGCCTTTCCTGATAGGTGGGGACAAGGTTTTGGGGCTCTTCACCGAAGCGGTTCGAAATGAAGCTGCTACAGTGAATGGGCGGCTTCTTTCCTTCAGTGAAGAAGATCGTCTTAGCTTCTTCAGATCCAGGTCTACATCCTCAGGAGCTTCAGGCTTGCTGACTTCATCCTCAGGGGGCCATTTGGGCTTGGATACCTTGATCCCTTCCTCCAGGGCACTTCCTGAACTGCCAAGTTCAGTGGGGGGTGGCCAGGCGATCCTCAACTTCTTGGTTTCAGCCGGCTTGTCTTCTTTCTCTGGCTGAGAGGAGGCCTTGGCTTCCATACTTGCAGTCAGCACACCCACCTTAGCAATGGGGGCATCTTCTACCCCTGGGTTCTGAGGGGTCTCCCCTGCATTTGGAACCTGGGCTGGTCTCTCCAATGTCTCTTCATTTTCATTTTTGCTTGCCCACAGATCCTTGTGTGGTCTGTGCCCAAAGCCTTCATCATAGTTGCCTTTAGATTTAAAGAGTTGATTGAAGTGAGGCTTGCAATAGATTCTCCCATGTAAAGATGCATATGTTCCTAGACTGTTATTAAAAGAAAAAGAGCATAAAGTTAACAAATCTGTAAACTCTTATTTACACCAGCAGGCTGAAATCTGGCAATTCCAGTATTTTCAGAAGACGTTAAGTGAGAAAAATACCTTTAAAAAGCACATCTATCAACTAGGATTCTGTACCCCCTTTTAAGCACATTTGTTTTATTATCTTTATAAAAAACATGCTCACTTCCAGGCCTGAACCTTCACAAGACATTCTTCCTCCTGTACATGTTCTCATTTTCAAATGATTTCACCCCCCTCTGTCAAAACTGTTTAAAAAATTACTCTTCTAGGAAATCTTCTCTAAGTAATCCCACCCCGCTCTGATCACTCATATATTTCCTAAGTATTTATAACCTATAACTACCTGTAATGATATTGCTCTAAATCTTTTTCCTTCTAGTTTCCCATTTGTGTTATAATTTAAAAGCATATCTCTACAGGAATGGGCATAATGCTCTGCAAATGGCTGGTACTCAATAGATGCTACTGGCCGAATAACAGTAAGCTATGGTTATAGGAGAGCAGTGAGCAGTTGCCAGGAGGCCTCCCCGATGTCAGCACTGGACAGGCTTTTAGGAGATTTGGTATCACTCGCAGGGTAATGAATTTTAAAAGGGGTATAAAAACAACAGCATTTCCACAGAAGAAATATAAAAATTCAAAAATCTAGAAAAATGTGCCTTGGAGAAAAAAATTAATACAGTGGGCAGGAAAAGAAGCAACGAGTAGAGGTTACAGAGGCACGTTTTGGCTCAAGAGAAGGGAACATTGTCGAGCTAGAGCGTCTAACACTGGAACTATCCACGGTGAGGCATCAACCCCCACAGAAGTGTCACGGCGATTCCAGGACATCTTTCAAGAGTATTTTAGAAGGGATGCTTGCTCTGGAAGGAAAGCCAGACGAAGTAATATCCTGGTCACTTCTTTCTCTCCAACTCTATGATTCAAGTAAGTTAATATGGAATATTTCCCCAATTTGCCACATTTATTTCCACACTTTGAGTTACTTGGAAGAAATGATACATAATAATTATTTTCTCAGAAATAAAACAAAGCGGGGCCGGCCCTGTGGCTTGGTGGTTAAGTGCGTGCGCTGCGATGCTGGCGGCCCGGGTTCGGATCCCGGGTGCGCATCGAGGCACCACTTCTCCGTTCATCCTGAGGCCGAGTCCCACATGCAGCAACT